AACTACGGCTTGCCCAAGGCCATCCAGCCAGGTGCAAGTGGAGGAGTGGGGAATCAAACCCGGTTCTCCCAGATTAGAGTCCACGCACTTAACCACTACACCAAACGTATTAAGGCCACAATCCGACACACAGTTAAGGGTGTTTCAGCACCTTCATTTCAGTAGGCTTGCGCATGCTTAACTGCATGTTCATTTGTGACTGACGGGTGGCCTTTCCCCTAATAATAATTAATAATCATATGGCAGTGGGTGTAGTATGGCCAGGACATCCGAAGACTGTCTGGCAGCCTGAAACTCTAGCTCTTTTTGTGGGGCGAGCTAGGTTTGTTTTTTGGGCTGAGAGAACTGTGACTGGCCCAAGGTCACCCAGCTGGCTTCAAGTGAAGGAGGGGGGGAATCGAACCCATTTCTCCAGATTAGAGTCCGCTGCTCTTAACCACTACACCAAACTGGCTCTCTGGCCTTTACTAACAATGAGTGGCAGCTTTTGCATGGTAAGTCCCTGTGCTTCCCTTGATATCTTATAAGATACTTAAATGGAAGCTTTGGTGACATGCACACGCACTTAGCCTTGATAAAGTGACTGGTTAAAAGACAGATCAGCCAAAAATCAAGGACACAGTCTTTAACGGGAGAAGAGTTCAAGACAAAATGTCCCATCCCCCCGCCCCCCAAGTACTGTTTTCTGAGAGTTCGGTGGCCTCGTTCCAGTGCCGGCTGTCTTTGGAAATCCATAGCATGAGAAGCAGCATATTGGGGGGGGGGGGAAGTGAACAATTTGGCTCTCATAAAAAAAGAGGGTTCCTGCACTTGAAAGCCCATTCGTCATGCTTCCTGTGGAAAAGAATCACAGTGGCGGAAGTTCAAAAGAACGATGGGAGCGGGCTCCTGAAAAGGCAGTTGTTGTCTGATGTCCAGCCATCAGTGTTCAACTCAGGGTGCGTCCATGTTGGGGGAATTGTCCTTCTGTAGCGGGTAGAGTTGCCCGCTCTGGGTTGGGAAATATGGGCAGATGTCAGGCACGCTACCTTAAGTGAGAGATCCACTCACATTTTTCATGGCTATCCCATGTAGAGTTACTGCCCTCTAAGATCATTGATTTCAATGGATCTGTTACTTTTCTCCCCAAATGGGGACCCAAAGGGTCTTACAACATTCTCCCTTTTTCTGTTGTATCTCAGCTAACGGTAATCCACCACCACCAATCCGATTCGGCGTTCCCTTACCCCTCCCCTTCCCCTTTAATCCTCTTGGCAACACCTCCTTTATCATGCGGAGGAACGAAAAACCAACACAGGGCATTAAACCCCCTGGCAGAGTTTTTAAAAAGATGGAATTCCAGACAGAATAACGAAAGGGGGCAAAAAGTGAACAGCTTGCATAAGTGAAAGGCATCACAAAAACAACAGACAGTTTGCCCCAAAAAATCAAGTCAGGGCAAAGGGACTGGGATTTCTAACAGTTAACAGCAATGGGCAGCTCTCTGAAGACTGGATTAATGCTGTGCAGGACTGCTTGGCAAAAATCTTAAAAATGTTTAATGGCTGGGTTTTACCCACTCTGGTACGTATCCAGCCTCCCTTCTAGAGGGCCGACTGACAGCTAATGGAACTGGTTTGCCTTATTTTTTTACACTGGATCTTCGCCAAAAAAGGCCAAGAAGCAATGCCTCATTTTATTTTATTTTTTAAAAAAGGTTCCAGAGCCTGTCCTGGAAACTTGCCTTGAAAATGCGATGGGTTGCCATAAGTTGTCTGTGGCTCAACAGACCTTTCCCCCACTACTCATACCAGTGGTTGCTTTGCCTTATTTTTTAATGGTTCCAGAGCCTGTCCTGGAAACTGCAAGGCGCAGAGGCAGATTTAAGGGCCAGCAGCACTGACGTGACGTTATATACAAAAAGATAAACATGCGGCGCTGATAGGGGGCCCTGGAGAAAAGGCATTGGAGATGCAGAGCCGGGGAAAGGGGGCTCCAACGCGAAATCCAGGCTGCGCATTCCCACGAGAGCTTTCAGAGGCTCGCTTTCTCTTCCAAATTTAACCATTCTGAACCCCTGTCTGGTACAAAGAGCACGTTGCCGTTTTCTTGCAGCTGCGAATGCCAAGTCGTGGGAAGAGTATCGGCTATTTCGACATTTGGAAAGTAGGGCAGCTGGAGAGCTGGAATCCGAGAGAGGCAACGGGAAGGGCTTTCGTGACTGACTCCTAATTCAATTAGGGTGTTCAGCTACAGCAGGAGCCGGGATGGCCACCGGCTTTGACAGCTGGAGAAAAGGACGGGACTACTGCAGGGTTGCTTCTACCCCCTCCAGAAGACCCCGGAGAAGGTCACAACAAGATCTGCTCCAGGCTCTACATGTTTATTTCATACGATTTCCCTCTGCGCTACTTGGCAGAATGTTGCATTGGCCGGTGCTCTCCCTAATCTGTTCTCTCCTAGGAGAACAAAACTTGGTAAAATGCCAGAGGGGGATGGGCGGGGAGTGCTTTTCACGACTCAGAAGTTGCTCTCATGAAAGGAAAGGCTGGTGGCCCCTCTGTCTAGCTACAATCAGTAGCCACAGCAGCTCAGTTGAGCCTCCACGGTGAAAGGCAGCGTACCTTCGAGGCACCAGTGTAAGTGGCAGGGGAAAGCAACTGTCAAGCCACAGAGGATTCATGGCAACTTGTAGCATTTTCAGGGCAAGAGAGGTGGTTCTGCCATTGCCTACCTCTGCGTTGCAGCCCTTGACTTCCTTGGGGGGTTCTCTAGGGTTGCCAGTTTCCAGGTGGTGGCTGGAGATCTCCCAGAACAGCAACTGGTCTCCAGATTACTGAGATCAGTTCCCCTGGAGAAAAGGCTTGCTTTTGAAGGTGGGCTCCAGTGTTCCCTCTAAGCTGAGTGAGCGTGAGCTAGCTCACTGTTTTTCAGCCTCCGGCTCACACATTCTTGTCTTCGCTCAGGAAGGAGTGCTCCAGAGCAAACTGATTTATGCAGTAGCCAAATCGCTGGCTCACAACTTTAATGTCCGTAGCTCACCAAGTAGAATTTTTGCTCACAGGACTCCACAGCTTAGAGGGAACATTAGCTATAGCATTATACCTCACTGAGGTCCCTCCCCACCCCTCCCCAAACCCGCCCACCCTACCTTCCCCAGGGCCACTCCCCAGTATCTCCCGACATTGCTCCCTCTAAGCTGTGGAGTCATGTGAGTAAAAATTCTACTTTGTGAGCTACCAGACTTAAAGTTGTGAGCAAGCAATTTGGTGATCGCGTAGATTAGTTTGCTCTGGAGCCATCCTTCCTGAGCTAAGACAAAAATCTGCGAGCCGGAGGCTACAAAACTGTGAGCTAGCTCACACTACTGCAGCTTAGAGGGAACACTGTCTCCCAGTGTTTCCCAACACAGAACCGGCAACCGTAAGCTGGTCTCCCACCCAAGTCCTAGCCAGCTTCGCTTTTGAGATCTGATGAGACCGGGCAGGCCTGGTACAAGTAGAGGGGAAAATCTCTTGCAGGAATGGTTGTTCTTGAAGTCCCGCTCCTCTGCCCTCCATCTGCACCGACGGACGTTCTTCTTTAAAGAAACAGATGTGAAGTAATCTGGGTGGTCATCCCTAGCAAAATATAGCCCTGCACCACCTTGCTGGAGAAAATGGGGGAAATTAGTAAGTGCTCCCCTTGGATAGCGAAGGGCGGGGGATAAATCCAATCTCCTCCTCCTCTTCTTCTTCTTAACATAAGAACATAAGAGACGCCAATGTTGGATCAGGCCCATCTAGTCCAACACTCTGTCACACAGTGGCCAAAAATACCAGGTGCCATCAGGAGGTCTTCTTCTTCTTCTTTTCTTCTTCTTCTTCTCCTCCTCCTTCTTTTCCTTCTTCTTCTTCTTCTTCTTTTCCTTCTTCTTCTTCTCTTCTTCTCCTTCTCCTCCTCCTCCTTCTTCTTATTATTATTCACCTTTGCAAGTGAGAGGCACAGGGAGCAGGGCTTGGCCAAAGAGAAGGGACGGTCCCCTCCAAGTACTCTAATACCACAACATTTACAGTTATTCAGTATTTGAAAAAGCGTGTATGCACACACAAGCTTATACCCAGAATTAAGCTCTCTGTTGGTCTTCAAGGTGCCACTGGGCTCAGACATTGAAAGTGTGATGCAGTGCAAAGTTACTCCAGTTTCAGGACACTGAAATAGCTTTGCACAGTATTATTCCCTTAGATAAGAAGCTGAAATTTGAATTTTGCCCAGAGGCAAAAGGGGAGCCAGTATTTTAAACATCAAGGCAGGGTATCAACTCTAATAAAACACACAAACACCTATGAAGCTGTCTTATACTGGATCAGACATTTTACAATGTATGAATCATACAACTGTGATGAAGAAGCATTCACAATTATTTATCTAAAGATGTTATACAAAACATTAATTTCTGAATGTGATTATTACAAGAATTAATACAATAGAACAGAAGCAAAAAGGCGGGACGGTGGCCTCCGGATTGGTGCTGCCATTTCGACAATGTGTTGTTGAATTATGTTAAGTGTAAAAGAAATAGAAACCTTAAAAAAACAATTAAGACATAATTACACAGCATTGGGAAAACCTAGGCAAACATCAGATGATGCAACTCAGGGTACAAATCAGCAAGTGCTCCCCCAAAAATTATCTGTATGTGCGCCCAAAGATCCAGATACTGGGCAGGTGGGCAAAAAGCCACGAACGGTAGCACAAAACAAATGGTGCAAAGCAGGGTATCTATCACTGGTGCAAACGGTGCAGAGCAGGGTAGCACAAAATAAATGGGCATCCATCACTGGTGCAAATAAATGGTGCAAATCAGGGTAGGACAAAATGAATGGTGCAAATCAGGGTATTTATCACGGACCCCATGAAAGTCAACTGGCTGAGAAGTTCCACGAGATTTACTACAGTGTAAAAGCGTTGCCCCCCCCCCTCCACCGGACTGCAGGCAGCCTTGGCTAGGCTGTCCAAACACCACCGCCGCCGCCGCCTACCTTGCTCGCAGGGCCCCTTGCTGCGCTGCTGGACAGGGCGCTCGCCTCGGCTCTGGGCGCGCAGGCTGGCCACCCGCAGCTGGCAGGCGCTGGGGTAGGTGAGGCCGTCGCTGCCGCACACCGGGTAGCGGTTCTTGCAGACGCAGGCGCCGGGCAGGCCCTTCCGCCGACGGCGGCACTCCAGGCCGGTCGCGCAGCGTCCCCACCCGCCGCCGGCCCCGCCGCCGCCGCACGCCTCGCCCTC